CCGTCCCTTGGTGAAAGACTGGCCTGGAATTCCAAAAAAAGCGCCCGTCCCTTTGGGAGTGGTCCGCATACTTAGAGCAATTAAAAGACTTAGAATGATTAGAACAAACATGAATCTGCAAGTCCCCAAAAGCACCCGCCCCTTTGGGAATAATGAGAATAATTAACTAGACGAGTTCGGAATAAGTAGAATAATTTGCGCAACACAATCTTCAATTCCCCAAAGGCACCCGTCCCTTTGGGAATAACAATTATATTTAGAAGACTGATGATACGTAGACTGTTTAGCAAACAGGTCTCTTCAATTCCCCAAAAGACGCCTGTCCCTTTGGGAGTGGTTCGAATACTTAGAGCAATGCAAAGACGTAGAATGATGAGAACAAGCATGAATCTGGAAGTCCCCAAGAGGCACCCGTTGGGAGTAATGAGAAGAATTAATTGGAAGAGTTATGAGAAGTATTATTATTTGCAAAATCAATCTTTAATTCCCCAAACGCACCCGTCCCTTTGAGACTAGCATTTGTATTTAGAGGACGGTTTACAAGTAGAATACTTAGCACACAGGACTTTTGAATTCCCCAAACGGCACCCGTCCCTTTGGGGGTGGATCGAATACTTAGAGCAATTATAAGACGCACAATGATTAGCGCAAACATAAATTTGGAATTCCACCAATGTAACAGTCACCCGTCCATTTCAAAATAAAGAGAAACCTAATTAGAAGAGGTATGCTAAGTAGTATAATTTGCACAACAGCCATCTTCAATTCCACAAAGGCACCCGCCCCTTCAGGAAAAACAATTATATTTAGAAGACTGATGATAAGTAGAACAATTAGCACAGAGGACTCTTGAATTCCCAACAAGCCACCCGCCTCTTTGGCAGTGGTTGGAATACTTAGAGCAAGTCTAAGAAATAAAATGATTAGAAAATTGACTTCCCAAAAGACACCCGTCCCTTTGGGAAGAATGATAAGAACGAATTAGAAGAGTTATGATAAGTATAATAATTTACAAAACAACCAGCAAACATGAATATTATTGAATTCCCCCAAGTCATCCCTTTGGAACTCATGAGAGAATACTTAGAAGAGGTGTGCTAAGTAGTATAATTTGCAAAAACAATCTTCAATTCCCCAAAGGCACCCGTCCCTCTGGGAATAACAATTATGATTAGAAGACTGATGATAATTAGCAAACAGGACTCTTGAATTCCCAAAAAGGCACCCGCCCCTTTGGCAGTGGTTCGAACACTGAGAACAAGTATAAGACACACAATGTTTAGAACAACAATTAATTTGGACTTCCCCAAGAGTGACCCGTCCCTTGGGAGAAGAACTAGAAGAGTTATGATAAGCAGAGTAGTTTGCAAACATGAATATTCCATCCCGAGAGGCACCCGTCCCTTTGGGAAAACAAGTGCACTTAGAGACTGATGACAAGTAGAACAATTAGCACAGAGGACTCTTGAATTCCCAAAAAGGCGCCCGTCCCTTTGGGAGTGGTTCGAAGACTTAGAGCAAGTCTAAGAAATACATGATTAGAACAAACAATAACTGGAATTCCCCAAAAGTCACCCGTCCCTGTGGGAAGAATGATGAGAATGAATTAGAAGAGTTATGATAAGTAGAATAATTTACAAAAACAACCAGCAAACATGAATATTGAATTCCCCAAAGTCATCCCTTTGGAACTCATGAGAAAAACTAGTTGGAAGAGGTCACAACTATAATTAGAACACTGATGAGAAGTACAGCAATTAGCACAGAGGACTCTTGAATTCCCAAAAAGGCACCCGTCCCTTTGGGAGTGGTTCGAATACTTAGGGCAAGTCTACGAAATACAATCAATAGAACAAACAATATTTGGATTTCCCCAAAAGTCACCCGTCCCTTTGGGCAGAATGATAAGAATGAATTAGAAGAGTAATGATATGTAGAATACAAAAACAACCAGCAAACATGAATATTGAATTCCCCAAAGTCATCCCTTTGGAACTCATGAGAAAACTAGTTGGAAGAGGTATGCTAAGTAGTATAATTTGCAAACACAATCTTCAATTCCCCAAAGGCGCCCGTCCCTTTGGGAATAACAATTATAATTGGAAGCCTGATGTTAAGTAGAACAGTTAGCACAGAGGGCTCTTGAATTCCCAAAAAGGCACCCGTCCCTTTGGGAGTGGTTCGAAGACTTAGAGCAAGTCTAAGAAATACATGATTAGAACAAACAATAACTGGAATTCCCCAAAAGTCACCCGTCCCTTTGGGAAGAATGATAAGAATGAATTAGAAGAGTTCTGATAAGTAGAATACTTTACAAAAACAACCAGCAAACATGAATATTGAATTCCCCAAAGTCACCCCTTTGGAACTCATGAGAAAACTAGTTGGAAGAGGTATGCTAAGTAGTATAATTTGCAAAACCAATCTTCAATTCCCCAAAGGAACCCGTCCCTTTGGGAATAACAAAGCAGGCACCCGTCCCTTTGCCAGTGGTTCGAAGACTTAGAGCAAGTCTAAGAAAAAATGATTAGAACAAAAGAGAATTTTGAATCCCCCCCTGGGGAAGAGTGATAAGAATGAATTAGAAGAGGAGTGATAAGTAGAATAATCTACAAAAACAACCAGCAAACATGAATACTGAATTTCCCAAGTCACCCGTCCCACTTTGGAACTCATGAAGAAAAGATAGAAGATGCATGCTAAGTAGTATAATTTGCAAAAACAATCTTCAATTCCCCAAAGGCACCGTCCCTTTGGGAATAACAATTACAATTGGAAGACTGATGATAAGTAGAACAGTTAGCTCAGAGGACTCTTGAATTCCAAAAAAGGCACCCGTCCCTTTGGCAGTGGTTCGAATACTTAGAGCAAGTCTAAGAAATAAAATGATTAAAACAAACAATATTTGAATTCCCCAAAAGTCACCCGTCCCTTTGGGAAGAATGGTAAGAATGAATTAGAAGAGTTATGATAAGTAGAATAATTTTCAATAACGACCAGCAAACATGAATATTGAATTCCCCAAAGTCATCACTTTGGAACTCATGAGAAAACTAGTTGGAAGAGGTATGCTAAGTAGTATAATTTGCAAAACCAATCTGCAATTCCACAAAGGCGCCCGTCCCTTTGGGAAAAACAATTATAATTAGAAGACTGATGATAAGTAGAACAATTAGCACAGAGGACTCTTGAATTCCCAAAAAGGCACCCGTCCCTTTCGCAGTGGTTCGAATACTTAGAGCAAGTCTAAGAAATGAACTGATTAGAACAAACAATATTTGAATTCCCCAAAAGTCACCCGTCCCTTTGGGCAGAATGGTAAGAATGAATTAGAAGAGTTATGATAAGTAGAATAGTTTACAAAAGCAACCAGCAAACATGAATATTGAATTCCCCAAAGTCATCCCTTTGGAACTCATGACAAAAACAATTACAAGAGGTTTGCTAAGTAGTATAATTTGCAAAAACAATCTTCAATTCCCCAAAGGCACCGTCCCTTTGGGAATAACAATTACAATTGGAAGACTGATGATAAGTAGAACAGTTAGCGCAGAGGACTCTTGAATTCCAAAAAAGGCACCCGTCCCTTTGGCAGTGGTTCGAATACTTAGAGCAAGTCTAAGAAATAAAATGATTAAAACAAACAATATTTGAATTCCCCAAAAGTCACCCGTCCCTTTGGGAAGAATGATAAGAATGAATTCGAAGACTGATGATAAGTAGAATACTTAGCAAACAGGACTTAGTTGTGCACCTGTGGCCTTTGTCAGTCTCCTGACATCGAACCTAGCTGCACGCCTGTGCCCTGTGTTAGGCCACGGACAATATTACTTAGCTGCGTGCTTGCATTTCTTTTGCTGGTCATGAAATTGAAATTGAAACATGCACACGAGAAAATAACACACATGTTTGAACCAAGTGTCTATTTATTCAGCAGTATCCTTGTGCATGGTAAGCGCATATTATCTCTGTAGCACCATGTGGGAATAGAGTTTTGGTGTGCGTGTGAGTGCATGAGCATGTAACATGAAGTGGTGCTCAAATGCAAAAAAACGCGCGGCGACGCATAGGACTCATTCTTCCCTGCCACACCCCCCCCCCCCCCGTCGGCGATGTCGGACATTCAGAGCGAATAGTACGTATGATGCATTAGCATGTGACCAGGCAGCGTTCTGCAGCCTCCCCATAGTGCTCATAGCAAAGGGAATGACGAGGAAATAAAGGGGAACTTAATGGAAATTAAAAGGATACGAAAAGCATGGACTACAAGGAAATGATGCGACATGAAGCGTAAATAAAAGGAAATGAAAGGGAAGTACAAAGCGTGAAGAAATCAAGGGCTCATTCACTTACATGTGTTTTGTCATGAACATATTCTATCTTCAGGACTTAGACCACTGCACAGTATTTTGTTGCATAAGTTGGGAGATAAATCACCCATGTTCATGTTTGTTTGTCATGATGATTTTGAACATTTCTACCACTCTGGTTTCGGATTTTGGGAGCTCCGTACCAGATTCTAACTTTCGGCACCTGACTATAGGGTTCCAGGGCCTGGCTTGCATGCCTGCTACAAGTGCAGGGGACACAAGGAGCACGGGCTGCGGAAAGAGATTGGAACATAGCTGGCCCAGCTGGGGCAAATAGATGGCCCTGGCAAATGGAAGAAAACTCCCCCCAAAAAAACAGTGGAACCCACCAAATTAACCTAAAAGGGACACCTATGGATTGGAAGGAGCAGGGACAAAGAAGTCGAGTTTGGTCAATCAGGCGCACCAAATTAAATCATGCACTGTGCTAGGCAGAGAGAAGTATGTCCCTTCGGCTGAATGCCTCGTTGCCGTGCCCTCCATCAGAAAAATGCGTAGGACTTTCAATTGGGCTCGAGGTGACAACATGCTTGCCTTCAAGAGAGAGGCTCATGGTAGGGGGCAGTCCGATGGATACAGCAAACAAAGCACGCAGCTGCACGGGAATGGAATCAAACTCACACCCTGCGCCTTGCGCGAAGCTTCCGTCGCAGTAGCCCCCATCAGCGGCCGGCCGGTACGGCCGAGCGTTGCAAGGCCTTCGCAAAGGCACACCTCGCACGTGCCTTTCCCCACCCCCCACCCCCCACCCCCCGAACACATCACCTGCGTGCCTAGGACACTCAACGTCTTGAAAAAACCTAACCCAGTGACAGCACCATGCAATCATTTCTGCCCGGTGCTGTAGGTCAGACATTGGTGAGACTGGCTGGGCGTGCCCCTTACCATGCGGGGGCAAGCGAAGCAAGCAGCTAATTCTTGTTTCCCACACCCTCTGCCTAGAAAGCTGCAACCCTAAACATGTTGAAGGTCACTAGCTTACCAATCATACCATCAAGTGAAATATCACCACATGAAGCAGCTACGAGGAAAGAGGATTCATGTCCGTTGCAACGCAGGCAGGTGTTGCCTTGATGGACCTGCCTCGCACAATGTTTGAGGGCTGCTGCGGCCTCATCTCCCGCATTCGGGCACCTTGGCACCAAGGACACAGCAGACTCAGCGGACAAACCGGCCAGGTCATGAAAAGAAAGACCCCCCCGCCCCTCATTGGCTTGGCTTATGGTTGGCTGAATTGCCCGCTTCAAAACAGGTCTTGCGCCACATGTGAGGAAGCCACAGCATCGGCTGGCCCGCTAGCACTCAAGGTTGCCTTGTTGTGTGCCCATCGGCAGCTCCAGGGAGATGCCATGCGAACAACGTGACTGTCCTTTGAGTCCAAGCCAGGCAAACGAGTTCAACGACGTAGCTACCCTTTGCACAGACCTGTGATGGAGCAACGGCCGTCGGACATCAGCATCTTTGACCAAACTAGATTTGGATGAGACCTCTCTTTGGTGCAACGCTTGATCCGTCTGCGGGCTTAGGGCCTGCGCTGCTTGCTTTGGAGATGGCTTCCAGCAGCTTGGGGCCAGCAAGCTGCCCTGACTGCAAAAAGGGTCAGCCACACCAGAACTAGTCGCCAGCTCTCCTTGGGACCCACCGCCCTCTACGGTCTCCGCCCATCTTAGGCAGAAAGCTAGACACCAACGAAGGGTTCCTGCAATGAGAACATCATTCGCATCATTGATGTCCACCACTCTCTTTTTAAGAGTCAGCCATCTTTTGTCAAAAGCCTGTGATGCGTGCACTAGCCGCACTTGGCCTCAATAACATGTAACATGCCAAATAAAACCGCAAACTCACAAGGAACACATCATGCTCAAGGTCAATCCCCAAAACTGGCAAAGTTATGTTGCTTAGTTGGAGCGGTTCTGCTCCAGTATCCGGTGTCAGACGTTTGGTGAAATGCCTCAGTGCCTTGGCCCCTGGCTCTTGGCGAACGCCCGGCCTGCAAAGGCGGATCTATGCGCCGTGTACGTGCATACAGGGGATGATTGGGCGAACTAAAAAAAACGGTCCGGGAAGGGCGGGCGTGGGGGAAAGATTGATGTTGTGGTTGTTGTGCCCAAGCTGTCCCGCTGCTCCATCCCTTACCCAGTCCCTACTTCTTCCTTTCTGTGACAATGTCGGAAGTGAACCAGTGGCACTGCTCATGCTTTACAACCCCCATGGCCCTGTGGGGGTGCAACACTTTAGGCAACTTGACAGCTGAAATGCTGTCGAGCGACTTCCGCCCGTCAAGCATTGCCAAGCTACGGGCCGTCTCGGCCTGTGTTGCCAAGACTCTGCGCCCCAAGTTCACAAATCTTCTCCTCAGCCAGGATCTCATTGCATGGTGCTTCAATCATGTGCTTTTGCTTAGTGGCAATCTTGAATCCCAATTTCATGGCATACAAAGCAGGAGCCGCGCTGGGCTTGCATGGTCGACACGGCGCGGCCACAACAAACTCGTTCTACAATCATGTGGCTGGGGCGAGGGCAATGCACACGGCAGCGGTTGCGCCAAATGACGGCTTCTCACCAGAGGTGATCCTGAGTAGCACACGTGAGCTAAGCTTAGCTCGCCTTGGCCACCTCATTTGCTTAGCTCATGCTTCGCCCACAGCTTCGCTCACTTTGCTACAGTGGCGTGATGCTGTAGATGTCAGCGATATCTAAACACTACTCAAAGCATTTCGCCCCGTTGTCAGCCAGAAAGCTCATCGCATCTCAGTAACGTCCATTTGGTTAAGACCCCTGAAAACAATAACATATTTTCAGTGATATTTCCTTTTTAAAACCAACAAGGGAGGAAACATGTTTTTCTTAAGCAAATATAAGCTAAGCATCCTTTCCACTTCTGACATCAAGTCAGCCGGGGTTGCGGCTTGGCAAAGCACCGTGCTGCGATTGACGGATCTTGCGAGCCGAGCTGTGGCCTCACGGGGGTCCCAAGCAGTTGTGTCGCATGTCAAGCGAAAACAGAGCCTTAGCATGGGCACGTAGAGATACTGTGGATGGACAAAATCCTGCACCACTGTGAAACTATGGGAATCCAGCGTTTGTGGATGTTTACAGGGGAATCATCATTCCTGGGTTTCTTTGGTGGTGCAGGATTTCGTCCATTCACAGTATGGATTGAAAGATGGACCGGCAAAACCTGAAGCACGACCACCGCCTTTTCATGTTCAAAAACTCAGCCGAGGCGGTGACCACAACATCACAACACATAGGATTTCTGCAAGTCAAGCACCTGCATATGACATGTAAAGGCAGCAAACTGAACTGATAACAGCTCAAGCTTGGGATAGTTTGGGCCGTATTTTTTTGCGGTTTCCCACCAGGTCCAGCATGTTCTCGCCCGATGATCCTGAAATGTTGAACAAACTCCCATAACCTCAGGATCTTGAGGTGTCGGGCCATTGTTGACAAGCACTCAACTTTGCTGCAGACTGCGGGGTCGGTTTGTTTCCATCGGCACTTAAGAGTAGGTTGCGTGACAGCGCTGGGGTGGCTGAGGTGTATTTGGAGATGGTTTGGGGTGGATTTACGACGTGACGGGTTAAGAATCGACCTGGACGTCCTTTGGAGTGGGTTTGAGGAGCCGTTTCAACTTGGATGAGGAGTTGTCTTGTGTAACTATCAGGTTAAGGCCGGGGCCGGCTTGGCTCCAATTGGGCCAGGCTTTGGATGGACTGAGTGGGCTTCAGCATTGCTTGGGTGGAAAACTAGGGATACTTTCAGCATGACCGTAGTAACCTGGTGCAGGGTTGGCTGAAGAAAGGGTTGTGGCTTCAGGCTGTGAGGTTGGTTTGGTCTGGCTTTTCTTGGGTGATTTAGCGCTTGGTTTTTTATTGAGCTCAGGGTGTTGGCTAAGGAATAGGGGCCGGTGTGTCGTGAGACTGCGGTTGGTGTATGGCTGCGCTCGGGGATAGAGGATGCGGATCGGTGTTGCGGATCAGGCCGGTGGAAGTTGTCTCTTGTATTTTGCGCGCGCGTGTGTCCTCTACTTTCTCTTCGCCTGCTTTCCTGCAGGCTAGTTTAAATGACCCTCTCACAGCCATCCTGCTGCGACGTATTTGAGGGGAGAAGCGCGGGAGCTGAACAACTGAACATTGCAGCGTTGCGAGATGGCATGCGTTGTTTGATTTAGACATCTCTGGAAGCATGAGCAATCCCACTCCGGATGGCTCAAGTAAATCCACGCAATAGAGACCTTAGAACACCCTAGACCCATGCCCTTGAGACCTGAAACCACCCCTGCCGCACCCCTCCTTGCACTGCCTAGGGCAAGCAAAACAGCAACCTGTCCCTTTCCCTCTCCGTGTCTCTCTCTCTCTCTCTCTCTCTCTCCCTCTCTGCCCGTTGCAACCCCCCTTGGAGAAGGCCGAGGCCTCGGCAGCTTGCAGATTCCTTGGTTGCCGACCGCCTGTAGAAATGCCTGCAAGGCATTGACCAAACTCATGGGTCACGTCAGCGCTCCGCGCAACAAAAAGCCTCTTATGGTGGCCTCAACATGCTCAGGCTGGTCAGGTGAGCTTGGCAGCTCGGCCACAGCTCAGCCCCATTTGTGGCCAAAAGCGCTCAGTTTTTCTCGCTCGCACAATTGCCGAGCTTGCTCCCTTTGGGCAGGTCATGGCAGCTGTCAGAGGCGCCTGCCACAAGAAGAGAGGTCAATGAAACTCAAATGCAAGAACTATGACTATGGCGCGTAAGCTTCTTCAAGCTGACTGAAAACGCGCAAGCAATCAACAACTATCAGAAACAACTTCAGGCTGTTGCTCTTACGATTCCTCCATACGCGTCAAGTGCTGGTGTTCATTTGGTGTGTGGAACAAGCGTCCCCACCTGTTCCTCACATGCGCCAACTGAAGGGCGAGGCCCAGAGTCCAGCTGGCGGTGTAGTTGAGGCCGCGTGGGCTGGTCAGCTCCTGGGGTACTTGACTGACTTAGTGCCCTCAGCAAAGCCGAAGTTGTAAAAACACCCCGGTGGCACAAATTCCAAGAATATGTTTTGACAATTTCAGGAATCAGGCAAACGCTGCCTTGACATGCCATTGCAAAGGCTGCCGGATGTGCGCATCAGTGCAGCCGTTTGTGGGTCCTTCATGGCCAAAATCGAGGTGTTGGCCTGTGCCAGTATCGGCCGCTCGTGAACAACTAGACGCCATCATGTTCCGAACTTCGATAAATAGCTTGCCAGACAACGAGCACATGGAAACCTGCAAGGTGCCGTCTCGCTTGGTCATAGCGTGCCATGGCTCAGCCTAACCCGTAAAAGTCTTGTGGGACTTTCAGCACAACACCAACACTCTCTCTTCAATTTCCCGTGTTGCCAGCCTGGATACCAAATCCCACTGTCAGCAGCACAAAGACATAGACAAGGTCGGCGCCTCCAATGAAGCGTGTCATTTCCACCCCAGTTGGAAAGCAGGCGAGCTTGTTGCAGCAACATGCGCAAGTTGTGCCCTCACATTGGACTCGGAAACAATGCGGATTCCAACGCAGCCAGCACCGCTGACGAACATCCTCACAAGGCGAGCTACAAGGCACATCCTGATCTTTTGTGCCTAGCCAGCTAATGCTTTTCACAAGAGCCCTGTGCAATCTTTACGCGTGTAAGGTTCGGTGCTGCATGCCCTGAACAGTCAGTGGCGCTGAGGCTGCGCCGCACCCTTGAAAGAGAATCCTTTGAGACTTTCGGGCGGCGGTTTTTTGGGAAGCTTGCTTTTGAGTGAAGGGCGTCACCTGAAGGGCGTCACCTTGAGGATATGTTTGGCGCTCGCTGCAGCCCGCAGCCCCTGCCCAAGGCTCTGGCAAAGCCATTTAGCTCGCTCTTGGCCACCTGGTTTGCATGTGGGCTTGGCGACCCCCCCCCTGCGTCTCTTGATATTGTCGTTTCTTCCTCCGCATTGTTTTACTTTGGCTTGTCAATTTGGCAAATCACAACTGTTAAGCACAAGCGTGGGAAACCGAGGCGGCTTTCCAGTACAAGTGTAATGTTACACCCGCTTTAATGAAAGTCGCCTCTATTGTGTAAACTTTTTTCGATTCAGGATCCTGTGACTGTTTTAGGGGTCCGCTATTGTGGCATGTGTTTGGTCCCCTCCCCAAAAAATCACCAAAAAACGTGCAGGCTTGTTTGTTTTCAACTCTCTGGTCTGGGCAGGCTCAGGTCGGGCTCAGGCTAGACTAAGCCTTGGCTGCTGTTGAGCTGGAGGCTGGTTCTGAGCTAGCCTGAGGTCTAGGAAATCCATTTTGCAAGTTGTGCCCAAACCATCAAATTTATGATAACTTCTTTACAACAAAGCAAGGTGAATCAATCACACAAAGGGGGTTGCCCACAACTATACCTGATCCTCTTTAGTGTGATTGTCTCGGTGTCCTCTTTAGTGTTCAACTGGTTTTGCGGGGTTCCTGAAATTCCCAAACCAAAGCCTGAGCCTTTTACTTTTAAGGGTGGCTCATCCTAAGCTCTCCCCAGCTCAAAGGTTAAAGACATGAGGTCTAGGAAATCCATTTTGCTAGTTGTGCCCAAACCACTAAATTTATGATAACTTCTTTACAGACAAGCAAGGTGAATCAATCACACAAAGACCAACCCTGATCCTCTTTAGTGTGATTGTTTTGGGGTCCTCTGTAGCGTTCAACTGGTTTTGGAAGCAAATCTCAAAAGGAAGCTTTACCAATACTAAATCAAATAAAAACTCAGTTCCAAATCTCAAAAGGAAACTCCAGCAATACTAAGTCAAATGCAACCTCAGTTCCAAATCTCAAAAGGAAGCTCCAGCAATACTAAATGAAATGGAAACTCAGCTCCAAATCTCAAAAGGACGCTCCAGCAATACTAAATCAAATGGAAACTCATTTCCAAATCTCAAAAGGAAGCCCCAGCAATACTAAATCAAATGGAAACTCAAGTCTACCAATACCAAATAAATTTGAAAGTCCCACCCAGACCTCCAGGGTTTCCCTAAAGAGGGTCCCGCTGACTGGTTCCATTGTTCGGGGGGGGGGGGGTAGCATTAAAGCAGGTCCAACATTACCCCACGAAGTACAATTCCGCAACTCCAGCGTGAAAATCAAAACAACTATTTTGCAAGTGTAGTATACGAAGTGTGCTTCCCTAACTCCGGCTCGAAAAACATCACTTGTCCCTACAAGTTCGTTACGAGGTGCACTTGCGCAGCAACAGCTCGAAAAAGCTCGAAAATGGCAGAAGCCTCGTATGCGAATTATACGTCCGCAGCTCCAGCTCAAAAATTGCCGACTTGTCAGTACAAGACTAGTACACAAAGTACACCTTGATCTTCCAGCCGCACGCCGCAACAGCCTTGGGGGGAAGAGGGGGCGGCTTTATGAATCGAGATTGCCTGAGATACCTGTCCGTCCAAATGAACTGAACAGTGTGTAGCTTTTTTGGCTTGGGGTACGTGAGTTTAGCGTGACCGCTTCTGTGTGTAGGCGGATTTGCTTGTGATGCGTGTGAGGGGGGAAGTTGTTGACAAAACATGCGAGAAAGCTATAGCACAAATGATGGACCACCAAGAAACCGTGAAATGGCCTAATTTTGGAGTTTCTTCAACACGGTGGCAAAACGCAACATTTTACAATGGCCTGGCGTTGGCGGCGGGTGTGTCGTAAGTCAGTGCTTTGGCAGGTGGCTGGATTGGTTAGTGTATGAGGGAGGGATGCACTTCCATAATCTCGATGGACCAGCCATATGTTAAATGCGCATTTGATTCAGACAGGTGGGTGTGAGTAAACCGATAGTAAGACCTCCGAGTTTTGAAGCGAGATTTGAAAGCCAAAATGGGCGGGGTTCTCTCATGGTCCTAATTTCGCGAGTCTGAGTTGACCATCCATTGATGCACCGATGGGCGCCCTGTCACAAATATTGTTTGAGTATGCTTTGAGCTGCAGGGCCAAACAATCTAAGGGACCAATTAAATTCACGCACGGACCAATAATCCAATGACTCGCTAAAAGCACGCTTTCAGAGGATGTGTTGGCACGAAGGAAGCAACAGCATGCGTGCGCCCCCAGCGTCAGCCTCCCTGCTTGTTCCTCGGTTGCTTGCTGCAGTTGATTCCCCGCTACAATGGGCGAGTTCCCAACCCCTTTAGCTTGAGACTCTGAATGGTGACGGTATGGTGACAGTCACAAACTTCCTTGAAACTCTGAATGTGACCGTTGAAATTCAGTGCAGGGTATATGAAACGTCTTCAGGGTGGCCCCCAACCAAATGGCGGCTGGCACTCTACAAGTTACGGCTTCGGCAAAAGCTCGAGAATGGCAATTTTTGAGCACAAGCGCAGTACATGAAGCACACTCCAGCTCCAAATGGGCAGCCAGTTCTACAACACTGATTTCTGCCTTCCGGACACCCCTCTGACATGTGCTTCACGCCGTGATCTATCAACAAGTGGCACGTATACACTACCTCCGAGTCCGTCGTTTCCTTTGCCAGTCATGAACAAAATGGAGTTGGCACTTACGCAGGACGGCCAGGCATTGTGCCACCTGTGTTTACTCATTCAAGGTCTGCGCGGAAAAAGAAATGATGGGCAATGTGCTCGCTGCAATCGCAATGCCATGCTGAAAAACGCATCCTTGCCTGGAAAATTGCTCAGCTCAAGCTCGGACAGGCTGCACGCCGTTCGCCCAAGCTCAAGGTAAGTCTGTGGCACCACCTTCCAAGAGCGCACCGTTTGAGTCTGTAGCGATCCGGGCCTGATGCCTAGATGAGCCTGAAAGCGCCTTCCGATTTTGCAAGCAACTCCATGTTCACGTCCACTGTTGCTCCACGCACTGCAAACGCACGGATCTCCATCGGGCCTCTGCTGACGTGGCGTCTTTGGCCACAAAGCCAGCATCCTGCACTGTCGCAACATGCGCCCTTTGTCAAGACTGAAACGCACCACCTGTTGAGCAACCCCCTCCCCCTTTCGACAAGGTCTGCGTTGGGCTTCTGCAGCGAAATATTTCAGGAAGAGCTAGTGACTACATAGGGATGTTGAGGGTGGAAGAAGGAAGCTTCAGGATGTTTGAAGGCAACAACACAACTGATCAACACACCTGTATGGCATGGAAATTGCACCGTCAACCGGCAGCTGTTTCTGCCCTGCCCTGCCATCAGTCAAGACATGGCATGCCTGCCAAGATTTGGCAAGGAAATTCGCAAGTGCCATCCAAAGCACGAACATGCAGCTGTTGAACAACCCAACAAAGTTGCACTGGCATTTTGTGATGGAATTGCGAGTTACTGTCTACAACGAACAACGGCCCAGCCCAACAAAGGATGTCACCTTCATCCGTCCGGCAAAGCCCTTTGTGCAGCTGGGGTTTGCACTTTTGACCCGGCTGCTGGGACCTTCCCGCTATGTTCTCACCTCATTGGGACTTCCTTGAGCGGCCCTTGCCCTGGACATGCTCCTCCAA